TGTCGTCTGGCTGCGTCCGTCTTCCGTCTGTCTTTCGTCGGTAAGTCCCCAGTTTTTGTGCTGGGTTCAGGGAGGAGTCGAGTGTTGTTGCATGTCTGTGGCTGGCGACTCGACTGGGTCGGAGTTTTGTTCTGGATTCCTGTTTCACCTGTAAACGGGAGGCCGAGTAGTTCAGATGAGCTCGAAGGTAATTTGGTTTTTGTATTGTACATTGTTCCAAAATTACCTCGCTGAAGCTGTGAAAAAAAAAGTATTCTCTAATATTGAGGAATTAGGCCATTTGTTAAATGTTGAGTCCTCCAAGACTCTGAGAAGCCCTGGGCTTGGGCAAGAAGGCTCTTTCCTTGCCTGTGTAAAATAAAAGTACTCCTCGATCCGCCTACACCCTGACTTTTTTGTGCTCTGTAGGATGCATCCCAACCACAGAACCAAGAGGGCGAGTCTGAACATCGGAGTTGCATCAGTGATGCATGTCAGATCTTCAGGCGCTGACGTCCCTGCCCGAACCTTGAAGGTGGTTCAGTTCTCCAGGCTCTCCAGAGGTGGCGGTAGTGATGCATCTCGGTTCTCGGGGCTTTCCTGACTGTTCCTGTTATCGTTACGGTTTACGCTTCTGTCGAATTCCCACATTTCATCTTTAGCAACAGACCATGTTCATTGCATGCCTTGGGTCTTTTTGTTTTCTTTTAACTTGTTTTGAGTTTGAACTTGAATTCTCCTCAGTAAATAATGTTCTGGAATTTGAAGACTCCATATGATTTCCTTCCCCAACGACGTAGATCGTAACGTGAGGCATTGTAGGAAGGTTGAACATGAAAGACGTATAGGGTCATCGTGGCAAAAGGGGACGAAACATTAGAACTGTTCCTGAGTACTTGAATTTTTTGCCCGCGAGTGCATTACATGACAATTAAAAATCATCCGCTAATTTCTTTTCTACTTCATCTGGTTTCAGGGAAATGGTAAGAGATCAATACATATTTAAACCATTTTCACTTTCCTCCATTACATCGATCTAACATTAGCTTGGAGGTGAGAAGTATCCGGGAGGTTACAAAATTGAATCGAGAAGAAAGGAAACGTGTCGGAATTGGGTATGCTTAACCAAGATGTCGACTTATGGCAACTAATGTCTTTTGATGTAAAGGGATCGTTCAGGCTCACCTGACCTTTTTTCCCCCACTTTCTCCGCATCTCTAGAAACCGACCGCCTCCTCAACTGAAGAATTCTGCACCAGCGGCGGCTCCTGGACGAAAAAATCTGGGGAGGCCAGCTCAAGTTGTACATAAACAATATTTTTTTTTGTCATGGTCGAATTTCATGCTCTTAACTTTCTCCCCTAGCGAGTTTCCGAACTTACAAACTTAGTTTTAGAAGTACGGAAACTCGGCAACATGACACAGAAACTTTTTATTCTTCCGAAACCAAGTTACACTGTTGTAACACCCATATAACCAGTTCGAAGTCTCAGTGGTGGCATATCTCGGGTCTTTTTCATCCATGGCAACTGCGTAGATATAAATGACAAAGGGAATTCAGATGACCGAACAGCTCTCTACTGGAGGCAATGGAGCCTGAGGATGTGCTGGCTCTTGCTAACGAAAGGCACCCGCGCATGCGCAATGTGAGGCCGGCCTCTCTATATACAGGATGGCCACAAAGCCCCTTTTGCGTGAAATATTAATGTTCTTTTCTTTTTTTTTTACTGTATTTTCAGGTGGGGTTTCAACATGGCAGGCGTTAATGAGTTTACGATAGAGGAAAAACTAGCAGGGAGTGTGTGTATCCGCGATCGTGGATTGGGCGAGGATTTGATGTGGCTGCCCCGAAGCCCAGACCTGACATGTGAATAATTCTCTTTGGGAATTATCAAGGAGAATACTTCACTCTTAAGACTGACAAATATTGAGGAACTCAACAGCTGTCCGGAATTGCTTTTGCAATATGCAGCCTTACAATTTTGAGAATGTCAAGAACTCGGGCACGAATACAGCTGTGTGCTGAGAATGCAGGGCAAAACACGGAGCCGTTCGAATAGAGGTACTTTTTTCATGCAGAGGGATTTTGTGGCTACCCTGTACTATTGTATTGCTGGTGCTACGGGATACCCCTTATGAATTGTCTATGAGTCAGGGGAGGCCACCAGGCCCGCGTCTCCCGTACGAGATGGGCAAGGGTCTTGAATCGACTGAGTATGAATCCAATGGTTCTGGGAGATTTCGTTCAAATATCTGAACGATTTTCAAATTGTACGGGAAAGTGCCTCATGAGAACTGTTGAGGAGCCCGGGCTCTCCTTGCCTCCCCTGACAAGCCACCACTGCTGCGAAGTGACGGACACATGGCGTCATCGCAGTCTGCGAAGGAAGTATCGACGTATCGGATGTAAATTCGGAAGTGGGTCGTGATTCATAATGGGATAATTAGAGGGAAGAGGAGTATAGATCAGACTTATTTATCATGGGCTAAACGACAGCAACAAAAAGCAGGAGTTATACTAACCATTTCTATCATTTCCAAGCACTTAGTAAATGTGGGGAAACTTGAGCTCCGGCAACCCTCCGAGGTCGTGAGCACATGGGGTGCAGTTGTCTTATCTCTCCATGACTCCTAGATTGCATTGCTCTTGTCAGGGTGCGCTGTAGGTAGAGATAAGGCCTCACGTTACGTTAGGTGCCAATTTTAGACCCTTGCCTCATGGTCGTGATCGCTGTTAAATGATTTTTTGTTGGGCTAGGCCTATTAGCCCTTTTATTGGCTGGGGTGGTAGGGCTAAGCCAGGTACTTGTCAATAATGCGGGAATTTGCGGTATCGGACTGGTTGAACGTTAAATCCTCGTGAAACAGAGCTTTTAGGGCGAAATGCCAAGTCAATGAAGGTTCGGGCAGTCGCGAATCAATCCAAATCATGAAAAATTTACGATGCAAGATTGACCTGCAACCGAGGCCGTTGGTTGGTGCCGCAGTTGACGCAGGGGAGTGCAGGTAGTTACCATGAGTAGTACACTGTTTCCGGATGGAATTTGTACCCCTTATTGAAGCGCTTATATCAATTGCAGGTAGTGACATCTTACACATGGGTGGTTTTGTCTATCGCCTGCTGAAGCAGAACCCCTGGAAATTTGTATTTTCTCCATTATCCACTATAGGGGGGTGATACAAATTCAACCTGGAAACAGTGCAGCTGATGAATTCTATGGTGTTAGCTTCTGAATTGAATTTTGGTTGGAGTTCTATGGCCTAGGATTGAATAGGGTTGGGATTGCAATGTGTGTGCATGTCATCCCAGTTTCTGAAATCATGAAATAGCTATAAGTTATAAGTAAACTTGATGTCAAGTCTAAGATCAAGTTTTCCAGAGATGTTCACTTGTGCATCATTTCATCAAACACTGCAGTGTTTTTCACTTGATGTCAGATACTCATGCAGTGGACATTCCTCATGTATGAGTGTTGAAGTCTAGCAAAAAAGGTCTGACTCAAGTGGAAAACACTAGCCTAGAGAGAAGGAAAAAGAAATAGTTTTCTGAAATGTTAATGACAGTCAAGATCTCAAAACCTGAAGTTATGGTTGATCTCTATTAAGAACATGTTATCCTTTTTTATTTATAGGCCTATATAAAAGTGGAGTAAGCTGGGTAATTTGGAACTAAAGGATTTCAAGGCAATCAAAGCAAACTTTAGTAGGCCTGATTTATGTAGATATGTATTGATAGATATGTAGGCCAATTTATGTAGATTTTGAAGTTTTGGAGCAATGGTACTGTATAACTGTCATTCCTTTTTTGGCTGAGAAATAGAAGGCACAATGATCTTTCAGAAGCCCAGGCAATCAGTTGCTTTACCACAAGACCTGCTAACTTGGCTCACCTCTGCCTTTGCCATATCCACACACTAGCATTACATAAGGTACATATATCTTCATCAAATGTCAGCCTGATGCTGTTTAGCTTGATCTACAGGGCCAGTCATATTCACACTGGTGCTTGGATTAGACAGATGGGGCATCTATATGTGGAGGGATGTACAAGTTTCACTGAACCCTACCATGCACTCCCTGAATGAAAGGGGAGTGGGGGAGGCAGTGCACAGAGCATGGTGTGCTCCCTCCAGGAAGGGATCTGTCTTTATCCCTTCCATCCCAATGTCCAGGTTTCTGACAAAATAAAGGAATGTTGGCAAACTGCTAGCAGTCAATTTGAAGGACCCATTGGAAGTGCTTTAGACTATATTAAATTAATTATTATGTGAGAATATGCTTGATATTCAAGAGGATTCTCTCTCTATTGTATTTTGGCATCCCAGATGAATTTATGTTCTGTGCAGGGCTTATGCCAAAGGTCAACCCTGTTAATCTGTGCCATTAAATGACTCCAAGAGGAAGGCTATCTTTTGAATTGAAGTAATCCCTGGCTTATACATGTCCAATGATGGGTCCAGGCACATTTTTCTTTGTAAACCACAGATTTAGGCAGAAAAGCACAACCATGAAGGTGTGTGCCACAAACCTGTGCTCATTGGAGGGAAGCCATGTTTCTAACTTGACACATCTTATGCTCTTGGTATTGCTGCACATTCCTATGTTGGCAGCCCTGAGTTATGTAATGCACTCAGGCATGGCCACAGTAATAAATCTATTGGACCTATGGCATTTCCTATATGCAATACTGGTGGATTCATGGCTCACTCAGTTCCTACTTCTCATCACCATTTAGCTTATAGTGGCCCATGAGGAGCAGCTAGTACGGTGCCCAAAAGCAGGCAGAAATCTTTAATAGTCTATCACAGGCTTTGGCAAGAGTCAATGCCAAGGGAAAGGGAGAGAGATATGATGGGAGAGGTGAAGACATTGGATGTGGTGAGAAAATAGGTTCAAGTATACTAATTAGAAATCCTAGGCATACATAAGGAGTAGTGAATCTAATTCAATTTACCACCCCCACTTCAATTACTATACCCTCATCCTAAGTCTTGTATAGTGTGACATTGACTTCGTCCAACAGTTTCCTCTTTGTCTCCAAGGTAGACTTGACCATAGTAGTTCATTGTTGCAATGAAGAAGAAGCACAGGTCCTCAAACAGTGAAGATTCTGGAAGAGCACTTAGGTGAGTTCTATTGAAGATGTTATTTTAGCCTACCAGAAACGACTTCATTGGAAGCCAGAAGAATGGTTTGCAATTTTAATTGAGTGGGTCACATGGCATTGCAACTATACTAGTCAGGTTTCTTCCCTCTCTATACTCACTCCATGGGGGCTTTATGTACATTTAATGTACAGTTGTACATTTAATTTTGCATAGTTCAGATCATTTGATGTTCTTGGTGTGACCCAGGTTTAAAAAGTACCAGCAGGAATTTCTGTTTATTCAGGAAAATAAGGATAGTAAAGATTTAAACTTTTTGGAAGAGGCATGAGTCCTAGCTGTCTAATTTTTGAGGTAGATCTGTTGACCTAGAAGCTTTTGATACGGCAAATATCCTGACCAAACTTGGGTAAATGATAAATGGCTTCACTTTAGGTATTCTCTTATGTTGAAGGAAGTCTGGTTTTTATTCTCCCTATCCAAAAATGATCAAAATTGAGCTGCTCTAATGCAAACCTGCCATGTTTTCAGAGTTTGGCAATACTGATACGAAAGTCATTGGTCAAATAGGCCTAAGACTCTGTCAATTCCTTATTGTAGCATTGAAGAAGTGATAGGTTCCTATATATTTAGGATCATCTCTGATATTTTAGTTCCTCTCCGTCAAATTCACCGTCGTGTCGGAGGGAGCCCAAAAGAAGCCACTCTGATGAGCGTCCAAAGTCCAAGTGTGTTCGCTCCAGGGGTCGATCAAGGAGCCCAAGCCAACAGAAGCGAAGCTCTTCACGTGGAAGGAAGAGGAAGAGGAAGAGAGACAAGCCGGAAGATGAGTCTCGTGCTTCTGATCTGACCCACGATCGTGCCAGGTTGGTTGGGGTTTTGTGGGGAGATTGACTGACTGAGTTCTCACCATCCATTGTGTGTTTACATTTCAGAACTTCTGCCAAATCCATATCACCACATCAGAGCGAGCAGAAACACAGCAATGGAGTCCGAAGTAGTAGTGATAGTAGTGATAACTACTACCGATCTCAACGTTCCAGCTCCACAGGAAAGCAAAAGAAACCCAGTCAGCAGAGATCAAGAAGGGACAGGGATGAGTCCCAGTCCCCTGCATCATTACAAAGGGGCAAGCACAATGATAGGGATGAATCCCCCACATCACTACGCAGGGTCAAGTACAATGATAGAGATGAGTCCCCTGCATCATCACGCAGGGGCAAGCATGATGATGGGGATGAGTCTCCATTACGTAGGGACAGGCGTAATGATAGGGATGAGTCCCCTGCATCACCCCGCAGACGCAGGCGTTATGATAGGGATGAGTCTCCTGCATCGCCACACAGAGGCAGGCATTATGACAGGGATGAATACCATGCATCACCATTCAGAGGCAGGTATTATAACAGGGGCACTTACCCTACTTACAGGGGCAGGTATTATGGCAGAGGTAGTTATTATGACAGAGGCAGTTATTATGATAGAGGCAGGTATTATGGCAGAGGCAATTATCATGACAGAGGCAGATATTTTGACAGGGGTAGGTATTTTGATAGGGGGAGGTATCAGGACAGGGGGAGGTATCAGGACAGGGGTAGGTATCATGACAGGGGCAGGTATTATGACAGGGGCAAGTATTATGACAGGGGCAGGTATCAAGACAGGGGCAGGCATTATGACAGGGGCAAGTATTATGACAGGGGCAGGCATTATGAAGGGGAGAAGTATTATGACAGGAGCAGGTACTATGATGGGGACAAGTATTATGACAGGGGCAGGTATCAAGACTGGGACACCCCCCCTGCATCACTACGCAGGGACAGGCATCATGATGAAGACACTCCCCCTGAATCGCTGCGCAGGAGCAGACAGTACGACAGTGGTACCTATTCTCTGCGGCGCTCATCTGAGTCTGGAGGCAGATACCCTGAAGAGCGTCGTAGGTCCAGCTGGCTTGATGCAGAGGACTCTGGTGAGCAGATAGCATGACCTGAGTCGATTTGAATTCGCTGCCATGCATTGGTGACTGAACACTTTCTTTCTCCATATATAAGAAAATGACATCTGTAACAGGAAATTTTTTTTTCTCATTTTTTCATTTTGTAGATAAGGAAATGACTGAGGAAGAGAAAAAGTTAAAAGAGGTGATGGGCTTTGTGAAATTCACTACTGCCAGGAAGAAGCTGCAAATAGGTGAAATCATCTGATCTCGGTCGTGTGGTCTCATCTAGAGCTGGGAAGTGAAGTATCAGTACCTGCACATATTCAGAACATTTTGTACCTCAAATTTCAGAAACAGATTCGTATTTATGGTGAGAGAAATCTGCTCAGAAATCAACTGCAGGTGTACCTTACTTTTATACTGAGGTGCTGGCTGGTTTTTCAAATGCCATCAGTTTGATCATCTGTGATTATGCATGCTAGTGAACAGATGCTAGTGAACAGAAGTAGTGCCTTTCTATGTAAATGGGGGCAAAATAAGAGACCATTGAAAAGTTTCTTTGTTTGAAAACTCAAGTTTCCAAATTTGTCAACCTTGTTGAGAGTTACTGCTGCCTTGTGATGAAGACTTGTCTTCATTGGGACATGTAGAAATGTGGATGCTGTCTGTATGAGCTGTATACTAGTCAGTGGGTACTGATTGCCTGTGTGTAAATTTAGCTTTGGATTCATTTATCCCATACTGTGATTCTTGAGAGTGACATGTTGCCTTTTTCTGCACGCTTGCAATTGAAAATATCAATTTCCATGCACTGAAGGGCAAAACGTTCATTGTTGAATTTTGTGTTTATTTGTGCCACTTCTTCAGTAGAGATGTCAAAGTCCTACCACCGGTGATAACCTCAACACTTCTCATCAGATACAAATTGGGGCATTCGTGGATTTGCAAACTGTGTGATTCTTCATTCAGAAGCTTTCTCTTTCAACAGCTGAATCCCTTCCCCACCGAAGTAGATAAATAGTTCTGACATTGATATTCCTGTCCGATGTGATGAGAAAATCAAGTACTGTTGATTTGAATCCATTGGATTCAGGGGAGCTGATTCTTATTCTATGTAAGTTTGGGATGATACAGATGTGAATTACCAGAAAATTTAAACTGACTATTCTAGAAGAAATTCATCAAGTTGAGAATGTTTCAATGCATGATCTCATCTCTAACACAACCATGTCAGTAATAAAAAATTGCATATTTAAAAAGTTGATAATTTGTCTTCCTTTGCAGAAATATTTACATTGAAAATGGAATTATATAGAAATTCCCATAAAATCACCTCTGGTTTGAGATTGAATTCTGTAGTGGGAGTCTGATCCCAGAGTCTGGGATTTGAATTCAAATTAATTTCTCAAAAATTGATGTATGAATTGAAGCACTGGGTCAAGATTATAATGAGCATATAACATGATTTGCAATTAAGACTTAAGATTCAATCCTGGATTGACCCATCAACCTTTTTGTTTTTCTGGTTGAGAATTTTTGTTATTCTGTCAGAGGGAGCTTCTCCATGGAGATAGCTGGAATTGAATTCTCCCACTTTTCCCTGTATTTGTTGCAGGAAGGGCAAAACTGCTCATACTGTTTCATCTAGGAAAACAGAGACTTTTCTTATATTGTGCATGTTCCTTCCGTCCTTTGGGATCTGCATGACCTGGGAGTCATAAAACAGAGGGTCACCATGACAAAAAGTGCAAGGGCCAAGAAGCTGTCAAAGAAGGAAAAGGGGAAGGTGCAGTTTAAAGTTGGGAAACCCCTTCCAAAGGGGAAGAACGTGACTGACCTCAGCTTCAAGGCCAAAAAACTTGTCATTCTTCAGCAGCATCAAGATCCCAATCATCTCCTACCTGTCACCAAGAAGAAGCAAACACTCAAAGTATGCCTCTAATGCACTGAGCCTGCCACTGCATCTCTCCTTTCATTAGGTTCTTCTTCACAAATGGCAATGAGATTCTGTTGACTTGTGCTTTTGTCGTATTTCCCAATCTGTTAATGCAGTCTTAGGTCATTGGATTCACCAGAGTTGATTTGAGTTCATCAGACTCCATTATATAATGTTGTCCAGGACTGGGCAGTACCTTACCTTCAAGGATACTCCACATTTTATTCTGTTCTTGTAATTCTCACTTAGTGACATTGAAGCATATGGACTAAGAATGTTCAAGATATTCCCATGGAAGCTCCAATTCCATTGATCAAAATCACAGGAATGGTACTTAATTTGGTTTGAGAAGCCACACTTTCTATAAATAAGGGTTTTGTGACCCAGCAGTGAACCTGTGATCAGTGTATTCCTCTTGTTCACAAACATCAGTAAGCCTTGCTTATTTGTGCATTCTTTAACCTCGGCAGAACTTACTGAAGTTGTTGGTTTATCACAATGCAAAAGCTCGCATTGAGGCATTGCAAGGCATGGAAGAACTCCTTCGAGACTCTCCTTGGCATGTCAAGAGCAACTCGGTGGAGGTCATCGAACAGTCGGCATTCCTTGTCAATGACCGCGAAAACAAGGTCCGCAAACAGGCAGTTTGCTTTTTTGAAGCTCTCTTGCCACTTGTGAGTTTCTACTGTATGAGCTTTTGATGAGTTTCATGTGTTGTATCAACTGCACTAATAAGGTTTTTTGTCAGGTAGAGGAGAGGGCGTTAGAGCCACTGTTCCCCATTCTTACGGCTCACCTGAGCTGTGGGATGTCGCACCTGGAGCCGAATGTCCGCTTTGACTCCCTGGCCCTGTTTGACGTGCTTCTGGATCATCACCCCTCCCTCCTGGTGCGAAACACATCCTTGGCCCTAGCCTTCCTGAACCAGATCTCACGGGAGAAGGACTCAGTCTCCAAGTCCAGGTCGCTTCACGCGAACCCCTCCACGTCCACATCTGGGGTGCAGTGGTATGCACGGGTCCTGCACCGCCTCCAGCGATTCCTCTTTCACCTCTGGACCCTCTGCAAGGAACGGAGTCGGGCCGCAGCCGGATCTTCCGAACCGATCCGGACTCTCCGTTGGGAAGAAGGGACGCCTCTGTTCATCATCTTGCCAGAAGATTTTCCTGTGCCTATCCTTAATCTCACCAAGAAGGGATATCAGGAGAAGAGGAGCATCTTTGAGGACCCTATCCAATGCAGAAATTACATGGATGTCCTCACTCCACTCCTGATCGAGATCTGGACCGAAGTCTCTGTCGATTGTCAAGGTCTGTTTCCAATTCTACACATTATAAAGATTAGCTTCCTTTTCCACTTCCAATTTGACTCCATTTGCAATCATTGAGGACTAGATTTTTTCCTGCTACATGTTGCCATTCCATCTGTTATCTAGGATTCCATAGAATTTCATGTTAGTTTTTGTCAGACTTTGAACCAGCAGTTTTATTTTAGGTAGATATTCATAGCTGTGAGAGACTGTAAGAGGTTATTTTAATTGCAGTTGTAATGTTTTGCAATTCTTTGTCATATCATGTCCTCTGGGCAAAATGTTCAACAAGGTTTCATCTTTTTGATCCTTCTTCCTCATACTCAAAAGGTCATAGTGTGCTTTCCATCAGTTACCAATACCTATTGAAATAGAGCATAATCCCTTCCATCTGTTAATCAAAACTCTGTCTGTAAGGTGATGTTTTACCAGATTGATCTCTTGATGATGATATTTTAATTTCAGATAAAAGCTGCATACCAGCATTGCTCATACTCTTTAAATCACTTTTAAGTTTTTAAGTTAAATCACTTTTAAGTTGAGATGTAATTGCAGTGCATAGCATGATTAAAATCTTACTAAGTTTGGTTCAACCCTCATATGACATACATTGCTGGTCAATTATCTTTAAACATCTTTATGTGCTTAATATTGATTCACTGTAATGCTAATGCATCACAGTGCATTCCTTCCATATCATGATGATTTGGAAGAAGTGATAAAATAAGTAATTTAAGCAATAGTTGTACCATTAGTTTTGCCCAAATGTTAGAGACTTAAGAGATGCATAAGTGATGATAAATTGCCCTTTGTGTGACCCTCATTATTTCATTGCTGATCCCTACATCTTGTGGGTGTCTTTGGAAGGTAGATTCCATGTTATCATTGACTGATATTTCCAAAGTTTCTGTAATTTTAAGTTTCTCCTAGCATGAAATGATCACTAAATCACATTTGGCTTTATTTGAGTTTTCATCAAATTGCAAATCGGCTTGCTAGGCTATGAAAATAAGTTCATCATGGAAAACTCAAGGAATATCTGCAGTTACAACCATTATCACCCAGGGAAGTTAACCAGTTTTTATGATTGATTTGAGATTGAACTCAGGAGAAATATGAAGAAATGAAATGGACCAGCTAGTTTGGTTACTTTTGCAAGGGTTTGTGGCTTCAGTGTCACTTATGAGATGTGGGGTCATGGGGTCTTTATTGCTTTGTTTTTTTGACTCCAAAAAAATTCATGGTGAATATATGCAATAACAAGTGCAATATGCTCATTCTGTTTCAGAGTAAATTTTCTTTTCAGTGCTCTTTTCATGAAGAATTTCTGCCTTTTTCTCTCTCTTTGTAGCCACACCCCTTCCTCTGAACAAGGGGGAGACAATCTTGTGCATCCTCAAGATCCTTGGCCTTGCTATCAAGATCATGGACCGATTAGAACTGCCAGAGAATCATCTTCCTATGGTATTCTATTTGGAGATCGCATGTGTGCCCCGATTCTTGTGCTCCTGTCTTTGAGACTGATGATTCCTGCAGCTGGAGTGGTGGAAGAAGTTGCATGGGGCCCCCGTGGAGCGAAAACTGAACGAGGAGATCCCTTACTGTGTGAGTGAACCCAGATCGAAGCGGAAAGACTCCCGTTCCTTGGCCCCTCGAGGACTGGAGCTAGACTTGAATCTGGCTGCTGCCTTTCTCACCTCCATGCTCGAGCTTCCATCCGCTTCCCAAACCGTCTCATCCATCGAAGGTTCGTTTCTCGGCATCCCAGAGCCGCTAGACGAAGCGATGACTGACCGTTCTCAATTGTTGGTTTTTGTGATGCTGAAAATCAAACTTTTAAGATGTTCCAATTTTTTAGTACAAAGTTTTCTTCTCTTTGATCAGGGGCATTGGAAGAGGGCTATCGAAGCAAAGAGGTGATTGAGTTCATCCTCAACTTGAATGGAGAGTGGCAGAAATGCCTCCTTCCAGCAGCTCTCAAGAGGGTCATTGCAGGTGCAGAATGCGATGACGAGGAACGGGAAGCCCTCTCCAAGTTCCTCGTGGCAAGGGTTCTTGCCGACCCCCATCTGCTCGGGTGATTCCGGAATCTATCCTAGGGTTCATGTGTCTGTTTGAGGGGTTATTTCCCTGCTACCCCTCTCTGACAATCCTTAGTTCTTCATTTTTTTTCTTAAAAGTAAGAATTGTCTTAAATGCATGGGTGCTTGGTCAGTGAATACATAAACTACAGGTTTTGTAAACTTGCTGCACAAAATTGTCTATGTGAAATGTGTTCTTCCTTTTTTTATTATTACATTTGCATTATGGTAAATTTTTCTTCCTTGAAAAGCTCCTAGCAACTAGTAATGCCTGTAATGGCAAACCTGAACAACTGTGACATCTTTCATCTTTGACTTTTCTGGTCGTAAGACATTCATTACACTCCTGCTGCAGTAACTGCTGTTAGTGTACATGAATTCCTGCTTTCTTTCAGATTGTACTGACTACATGCGTAATGATAGATTCTCTTCAATATTGCCAATTGTGGATAGTAAAATTTTGAATTGGAGGATTGCCCAATGTCA